GACTTTTCAAAGGAGGTAGCAGCTCAAGCAGGAATTTTATTTTATTTTATTTTTATTGTAGTATAGTTGATTTACAATGTTGAGTTAATTTCTGCTGTACAGCACAAGTGATTCAGTTATACATATATATTATTTTTCATATTCTTTTCCGTTATAGTTTAGAACAGGGTATTGAATACAGTTCCCTGTGCTATATAGTAGGACCTTGTTGTTTATCTGTCCTATATATAATAGTTTGCATCTCAAGCAGGAATTTTTTAAAGTACACTGAGAGCTCTCAGTGCTAAGTCTGTTCCATATCCTCACAACAACCTTCTGAGGTAGGAATAAATCTTTGCATTTCAACAGGTGAGGAAATGGGGGCTTCTGTAGGTGAAACTGATGTCTGAAGTCACATAGCTAGTGAGCAAGGGATCTTTGAATGCTCTCTAATCAGAGACCACCAGAAACACACCCGTGGTTGAACAAGTTGGGTTTATTATTTGTTGCAGCAAAGTGGGGGATGTGAACTATGAGGAATGATAGGGCATCTCAGTAACAGAGTCTTAGGAAGGACATTTAGGATTTGGGCTCGTGTGTGGTAATTTGGGGGCAGGCTTAAGGAAGCAGTGTTTCCAATTAAGAAATGGGCAGAAGACCTAAATAGACATTTCTCCAAAGAAGACATACAGATGGCCAAGTAGCACATGAAAAGATGCTCCACATTGTTAATTATTAGAGAAATGCCAATCAAAACTACAATGAGGTATCACCTCACATCAGTTAGAATGGCCATCATTAAAAAGTCTACAAATAATACATGCTGGGGAGGGTGTGCAGAAAAGGGAACCCTCCTACACTGTTGGTGGGAATGTAAGTTGGTGCAGCCACTATGGAAGACAGTTTGGAGGTTCCTCAAAAACCTAAAAATAGAGTTACCATATAATCCAGAAATCCCACTCCTGGGCATACATCTGGAAAAGACAAAAACTCTAATTGAAAAGATATATGCACCTCAGTGTTCATGGTAGCACTATTCACAATAGCCAAGACATGGAAGCAACCTAAATGTCCATCAACAGATGAATAGATAAAGATGTGGTATATATATATATATATATATATATATATATATATATATATATACACACACACACACACAATAGAATATTACTCAGACATTAAAAAGAATGAAATATTGCCATTTGCAGCAACATGGATGGACCTAGAGATTATTATATTAAGTGAAGTAAGTCAGGCAGAGAAAAACAAATATTATATGCTATCACTTATATGTGGAATCCAAACAAATAATACAGATCAACTTAACGAAATGGAAAGACTTACAGACAAAGAAAATAAACTTATGGTTACCAAAGAGGAAAGGGGAGGGCGAGGGATAAATTAGGAGTATGGGATTAATAGATACACACCACTATATATAAAATAGATAGGGAATTCCCTGGCAGTCCAGTGGTTAGGACTCCGTGCTTTCACTGCCGAGGGCCCGGGTTTGATTCCCAGTTGAGGAACTAAGATCCCACATGCCTCGCAGTGCGGCCAAAAAAATAAATAAATTCTAAAGATTTTTAAAATAAAATAAAATAAACAAAAAGGATTTACTGTATAGCACATGGAACTATATTCAATACCTTGTAATAACCTGTAATGGAAAAGAATCTAAAAGTAAATTAATTAATTTAAAAAAAACGAAAGAATCTGAAACTGTACATTTGAAACTAACACAATATGGTAAATCAACTATAGTTAAATAAATAAGGAAGCCAGGTTTTATCTGGATCAAATGCTGTCTATGACAGGGTACCTTGGTAAATCTTATCTAGAACGAGGGAAGACTAGACTGAGACTAGAGCTGTAATTGGTGAAGAAGCAGCAATCTCTATATGAGCTAGGTTAGGGAAATTCTTGGTCATTTTTGTGTTTTGGACAATGCGTTTGCTTTGTCTGGTTCATACATGATTATGGAGAGGTCTTTATATTGTCCTGATCCATCACAGTCACAGAGCAGCCTTGTCTGATGTTGATGTTCTGTGTTTTGTTTTTATGCTCAACAGGAGAACACCAAGGCCTTCCTGTAAGTGCCAGGCTAGCTCCTGGGTATCAGGGGCTGCTTTTCTGTTTCTCAGAGCCTGGACTCAAATCCAGGTTCATGTGACTAGAAACACCCCTGTGTCCACAGGAACTTGAAGAGAAGTCTGGCAGATGAGGAATTTCATCTATGAGTTTATTTCATCTACTACCTTCACCCCCTACTCAGACCCAACCCCTAAGACCATCCCTGGGATAATTGCAGGCACTTAATAAATGCTTGTTGAATTCATGAAACAACGAAGATGGGTGTTAAGCACCCCAGAGAACGGGACTTCCCTGGTGGCACAGTGGTTAAGAATCTGCCTGCCAGTGCAGGGGACACAGGTTCGATCCCTGGTTGGGGAAGATCTCACATGCTGCGGAGCAATCAAGCCCGTGCACCACAACTACCGAGCCTGCACTCTAGAGCCCACAAGCCACAACTACTGAAGCCCGTGCACCTAGATCCCGTGCTCCACAGCAAGAGAAGCCACTGCAATAAGAAGCCCGTGCACCACAATGAAGGGTAGCCCCCGCTCATCCCAACTAGGGAAAGCCCACGTGCAGCGACAAAGACACAGCCAAAAATAAATTAAAAAAAAAAAAAAAAGAAGAACTCCAGAGAACAATGTCTGGGTGCAAATTGCAGCTCTGTCACCTATCAGTATGTCATCTGAAAACTGTTAATTAGGGCTTCCCTGGTGGCGCAGTGCTTGAGAGTCCGCCTGCCGATGCAGGAGACGCGGGTTCGTGCCCCGTTT